AATAAATTTCTATATAATAAGAACATTCATGCATTTATGTGGATAAATATGTTTTTTTCGTATATGTACGCGTAGAGACATACATATATTATATCTATATACATAATGTATGTATTCGGGAAGATTAAAGTAAGAAACAAACCTTTATGATGCCTCAGGTGAGATCGTCCACAGCAAGGTTGTTCAAAATAAGCATGGCCAGGATGAGCAGCAGCTAAAAGCCTGCTGGCCAAGCCGCTAGGTAGAATTTGTACCAGGACAGCTGCTAGAACAGCTGCCCTCACCAGGAACGACATCGTATCCGGTAACCTTCGTCTCTGCATTTTTTCCAAATCAACTTCCACAGATTTTATTCGAGATATTTACTTTTTCTTTTTTTTTCTTTCGTATTATCAAACGTGTAGTATGTGTAGGGATATATCGTAAATAACGAAAAATAAAACAAAAATATATATCACCTCAAATCTTCTCGAATTCACTCGAATTAATCGAAGAACAATCTTACATCGACGAATTAAAAAACTAAACGAAAAAGAATCATCTGTCTTGTACTTTATTGTTTCTGTTTTCTCTTAAACGATCTCCATTTAAAACGAACCAACGCACGTTTTCGAAAGAGAAATAAAAAAAAGAACTTAAGAGAGATATCACTTTTGAAGTTATTTTTCGAGGTAATTAATGAATTATCTACGACACGCGATATATCGAGCTTTTAAGATCGATAATGTTCTAACGAACACTATAATAACCAACGTATAATGAAAAACACGCGTATATATGTTTGTCTATCCTTTTTTCTCTTCTTTCTCTCTCTCTCTCTCTCTCCCTCTTTCTTTTCTTAGGTTGGAAACACAGAATCTTGAACGTTGGCACAGGTAAAACCTATACACTAGAATACCCAAGGTATATTATACCTGTTAGATGAAAGAGAGAGATGAAAATTCAAACGCGTGGTTCGTTCGTATCCCCACTCTTTTCCTTTATTCCTTTCTCTTGGACGTCTTCGGTATTGCCTTTGGTACTACCTTCGGTACTGCTGCCTTCGGTACTACCTTCGGTACTACCTTCGGTAGTACCTTCGAGGACAAAGGAATTCACGCTTTTCTTTCTTCTTTCTATAACGACCAAAGCTCTTGCCTCGTTTACTCTGTCTAAGGCTATCTGTCGGATTGTTCCCTCATATTCTCTACGGGTAGACATTAAAACAAAAATAGTATTTCCTGTCGACAGGATTATTCTTTGACAGATGACAATATAACAAGAAAACACTTTAAATGATCTTTTCGATGAATGCTCTTCTTCAATTTGCTTTGTATTATTACTTCCGGTTTCTTCTTATCTTCACCGTTACCATATTAAGTAACACCTTTAAGCACCGTCTAATATTGCTCTCTTTATTCTTTTATTATTATTACTATTATTATTATTACTATTATTATTATTATTATTATATTTGTTATTTTTATCTTAAGTTGGTAAAACTTAGAAAAGAGAGTACAGGCACAACTAAATATAACAAAGAGACGTAATGTTTGTCGTCACATCCGTTCGATCGGTACACCACAAACTTTATTCACGGTTTAACCACGTTTACATAACGAAAATATTTTTCTTTCTAACGATACCACGACATTATTATTATCTATTTTCTGTTTATCGTTAAATTTGAAAGCACCCGTGTAACGATAGGAACGCTTAGATGAAAGATTATGGCGGGATAACGCGAGTTCTTAGAATTAGATGCAATAACAACCTCCCTCTTTGGAGGCCGCGGCACGACTGTTACTCTCTCGCACGAGCGTTGCCGCGTTCAGATCGACGGCTGCGCTCGGCTTCCTTCGTAAAACTTCGGCCGTTTTCGTATTCTCGTGCCGCCCCCAGCGCGGAGACTCGTTGCCGTGGCAGCCGCAACTTTTACGCGATTCACACGCGCCAACCTTATGAAGAAAAAGAAAAAGAAAAAAAAAAAGAAGAACCTTTTCCTATCTTTTCCTTTTTTTTTTTTGTCTACTTACCTATGAAGTATTTAAGATTATTTTATCGTTACTTCATAGTGTAACTTTTTTTTCTTCCCACTTTAGAAACTTTATCACAAATTTTTGTTACTACTAAAATGCATTTTCCAACCTAACAGAATTATATTTATCACGTATGATTTAACATAACTAAATTAATTTAAACGACATTTCAATTATTTTAATCGCATTGGAAAATAACTGATTTAATTTCAAAATTTGTTATATTAATAATACTAACAACCTGTTAAACACATCCGGATCGTTGCTTATGAGAATTTAGTTTATCTCTAAACGAAAATACGGATGATAGTAATAGTTAGTGTCAGTAAATTTTCTGCGAATAAAATTGGACGGATAATCGTGATCAGTATATCATAAGCAAGTTTGTCGAAACAAATTAACAGAAGTTAACAGTAGTAATAATTATTATTATGATAATTATCGTACAATTGAAATCGTAATAAATATAAGGTCTTTCCTAATTCAACGATTATTTACGATGTTATACACGGTAGATGTAGTTTTTTTTTTTTTTAAATAAAACACGAAATATCCAATAAGAATACTATCAAAATAAAGAATGTTCATCTCGAGAGAGCATAATATTCACGCTAACTCGAAAAGAATTCGTAGAAATTAGATTTAACTTGAGATAGAAACTGATGATAGCGATGCATCGAGATCCTTGAAGAAAACTTTTCGAAGAAACGAAAAATAAATGATCCCAACAGTTCTCGTAGTCTATCTTATCGTCTACCGGGTGTCGAGAGAAACGCCTAAAGGCAGTCACCTTCGACTCTCGTGAGAAAAAGAAAGAAGGAACATTGAGAAATAAAGAATAAAGAATAAAGTAAGAGGAAACCGTCGCGAAAGAGTACGTAAGGAAGCTCGCGAAGAAGAATGAGAGAAAGAGAGATAGAGATAGAGATAGAAAAAGAGAGAAAGAGAGAGAGAGAGAGAGAGAGAATAGAAGGGTGGTATGAATAAGTCGATATGCTAATGCGAAAACCCCCAAAGTTAGCCGAGTCGAGTGACTAAAGAAAGTTGCGAGGCATCCTGGATGTTCGGTACAAAGTGTCCCTGGCTAACGCAAAAGGAAGAGGAGAGGAGAGGAGAGGAGAGGAGAGAAGAAAGAAGAGAGAAGAAGAGGAAAAGGAGGAGGGAGAAAGAAGAATGATTTTATATAAGAGGCAACGAAGCTCCTCTCTCACCATTATCACTTGGTACAAACCACTTCCTTTGTCGTCTTCTTCGTCTCTTTAGCTTCACCAAGCCTCAAGGATGAGGCAAAAAGGATAAGGAAAAGGAGAAGGAGGAAGAGGAAGAGGAAAGGATAGAAGAAGCCTCGGCTGGTGTACCGAAGGTACACGAAAGGGAAGTCGTAAGAATTTTAGAACAAAGGAGAACGGCCCTGTTATAGAGGCAGCCTTACCCTTTTCCTTCTAGGATTCTCCTTGTCCTTGCTCAAGGCAGGATTAAACGAAAGAGGTGAAGGAAAAACGAATAAGAACGAGAAGAAATAAAAAAAGAAAATAGAGAGGAAAGGATAAAATAAAAAGGGGAAAAAAAAATAAATAAAAGGAGGAAAAGTTCTGGAGTCTTCTAGAGCAGCCCAGCAAAATCCATCGACCGCCTATCCCATTTCATTTGAAATAGTTTAGAATTGCATGAGCCTCTTTTCTCTGATCTCCAACGTGACCCGAGGACGTGAAGCTTCTTACGAGAAACGCGTGTGAATTTTTTCTCTCTCTCTCTCTCTCTCTCTCTCTCTCTCTCTCTCTCTTTATATTTCTTTTCTATTTCTTTCGTTTCTCTTTCTCACGTTTCTGAAGAAAACTCACGTGGACAAGAGCAAATAGCCGGAAAAAGCGTGGAATGATTCTCGACTGGGAAGAGACGTTTAACGCTTGAAATATAAGACGAGGGGAAGGGATGAGGGGGTTGAATGTAGAAGGGGGTGGTGATACTACGAGAAAGAGAAACCCGCGAACGGCAAAAGGTTGATATCTCTCGGCAAAAGGTGTGTGTAAGAAAAGCAAAGGACTTGCTCTCTTTCTCTCTCTCTCTCTCTTTCTCTCACCTCCAACCTTTTCTCTCGCTTCCCTTTCTCTCTTCTCCTCTGGAAGCGACGTTTCGAGGGATATAAATTCTCGAGAGACGTTAAGACGAAATCCTTTTGCTTTCTTTCCTTTTCCTCTTTTCTTCTACTTCTGTTTTCTTTTTTTTTTTTCTTTTTATTTTCTATTTTTTTTTCTTCTTCTTCTTCCTTTTTTTAACTCTTAACACCACCAAGCCCCGGAACGCGTGCGACCTGCTTTCTTGCTAGAATAGTAGTTTTTCTCTTTTGTCTTTTCTAACAAAAAAAAAATAAAATCTCATTTTCTTCCTCCTAATGGAAATAAACGTGGCAATAAGAGTTCACTTAATAAACATTAAAATAAACGACGGTTTAATAATCATTTTTTGATTATATCTAACAAATGTGTAATTTATCAGTAATGAACATGTTTTTTTCTAAAGCTCGTTGAAAATAATCGATCAACGTGTTCGTACTTTCACGCGTTTCCATGGGAAATAGAAAATTAAGAAGAAGAGGAAGAAGAAGAAGCAAGGGAAAGGAAAAAACTCGATCCTTCGTTAGCTTCGCTTGAATGAAGGCAAACGTCTGGACTGTCATAAAAAGCGAACGATGAGAAGGCTTTCGCGGGATATTAAATATTCAGAAACGTCAAATCGAGTCCACATTATCCTCTTATTCCGCAGCAGGTACTTCACCGAGATTCTCTTTTCTTCTCTTCTCTTTTTTTTCTACTCTTCTTCTATTTCTCTCTCTCTCTCTCTCTGTCTCTTATTTTTTTTTTTAAATGTTTGCGCTCGCGCAACCCCTAAAGCCGCGAAGCTTTCCAAAGCACGCTTCGTTGCTTCGAAGGCGCCACTAGGTTTTTCGAGGATACTACTCTTTCATCTATCTCTGTCTATCTCTCTTTCCTTCTCAGTCCCTCGTTTCCCTACACCCTTCTTTTTTTTTCCTTTTTAACACCTTTTTCCGTACAAACGTATGAAAAATATTTGTCCGTAGTGAAGATCAACAACATCCTGCGGCGAAGACGCGAACGAAATTTCTTTTCGCGTTTCCCGATTTAAATCTCCCTTTCCCCCTCCCCCTTCTTCGTTTACAAATATATTTCTATATTTGATGTTGCGTACGCGACGATTGGAGAAAAAGGTAAGAAATATTTTGAAATCCTTTTAACACGCTTCAAGTGTTAAATGTTGCCGAATGATGAAAAAAGAAAAGGAAAGGAGGAAAACTAAAAAAATACGAAAAGAATATTAAGTTACAAATGGAAAATATGAAAATTTCCCCTTTTCCCTTTTTTTTTTTCTTTCCTTTGATCATCCTAATTTTGATCGAATCATGGAAATCATCTGTTAGTTACGGTTCGTTTAATCGTATCTAATATCTAACACTAATATACCATTTCGTAAATTATGCGCGAAACACGGATTATATTCAAGGACCGAGATCGTTTCTTATCGACATTGGTGAAATGTGCACATTCGGGGCACATTTCATTCCAAAACTATTACCAAAAGAAATTTTCGTAACACACAGCGAGACGAGACATCTCGCTTTCCGAAAGATTTTCTATCCCCGTAAACCTTTCTTTCTCTGTCCTCTCTTCGTCACTCACCCTACTATTTTTTACACGCATGAAAAAAAAAAAATATTCCATTCGCTCGACAATACCTTTGCCGTGCGTTGGGTCGTTGAAAAAAGAAAAAGGAAAACGAAGAAAAAGAAAAAAAAAAAAAAAAAGAAAAGAAATGAAAAACGAAAACTCGTACGCGAAGGAAAGAATATAATCTTCCTATACAAAAGAAGTAAAAGCATTGAATCGTAACGATTTTACCCAACGTTTTTAACAAGCCCCTTTTCCAAAAGAATCTTACAAACTTCCCGTTTGGTTTACGAGGCCTCTTTATTCGAAGAAAATACGACGTAGCTCGTTAAGATGGAATTTGATTTAACGATCACAACTAATTCGACCGTAATAACAATGTAACGAAAACGGTATGAAAAGTAATTATCGATGATATAAATATTATAATAGATAGACAAACGTTTTTTTAATAAAAGTGAAAATATTCGTTCGTGGTTATTTCCAATCACTCCTCACTCCTACCAAAAGAGTACAAGATAGGAGAGATATACGCGTCGTATTTGCATCGAAGTAGAAGATCACAGATCGAAATGAACATCTTGAACAATACTACGAAGAGAGTTTCGAGAGATGCTCTTTCAAGATACTTGCATTCCGGACTAATCTGTGAAATACTTAACCATAGTTGAGGCGTCTTTGAGAACGTTTGAAGCTCTTTGTAAAAGGAGGAGAGTACAGCAACCAACAACTCGATGTTCAGAGACTATCGTTCTGGACCACACACACACACACACACATATATACTCCAATATTCTCTCTCTCTCTCTCTCTCTGTCTCTTACTTACACATTCACTCTCGTTCTCTCTCGCTTGACGTAACGATACACACGGGTCGCAGAGCTTGTGGATGAGGAAGCTCGTTCGTGGAAGTACTTCGGAGGTGAGGAGGAGACGGGGAAATAGAGAGTAGTAAGCTAGAGGGGTGTAATCATCAAAGTGACCCCACACCCCGTTAAACGGCTCACACACCTCGATCACATCACAGAGGCAAACCGTAGTGGCGACGTTACGAGCCCGAGTGATACC